TGATGTGTCCCTTGCTTCCTTGCTAGACCCCAAGGAGAAGAGACATGTTAACTATTAGTCACTTGCTCACATTTGTGAAAGATCAAATGGCAATACATGTGGGAGATCCCTCTGTTTTTCTGCAGTTTAAACACAATGCAAAGTATTTCAAGTAGCAGAGCTGGGAAATACCTCTGTCGGCCTGATTTCTTGGAGAGCTGGTGCCCATCAGGGCAGTCAGTACTGGGCTGGAGAGAACTGCATAAGTTTTGAAATTCTGAGATTGGAGACATACCGTACTCATTCCCTCCTGACTGTAGTATCCCATGGAAAGGGGTAGGTACAAAACAACAACAGATACATTCAAACCACCTCCTGTAGACAACAGAACATTATTGCATCTGCAGACCTCTAAGTTTAGCTCTAGCCTCCTGAGAAAAAAGGTGCATAATCTCTTATTCAGTGACCTACATTGTAGTGGGTTTTCAAGCCTTAATCTATTCAGTGAGCAGGTGTCTAAAAGGGGGGGGGGGCGACACTGAATGTTCATCAGGCAATAAACCTCAAACGCTGCAAATTTGTGCAATATGCAGAATCCAGTTTGGGCATATAAAATATAGTATAAAAAATGTAAGTGAATTCTATCCTTAAGCCTTAGCACAAGAGACAAGGGTTTCCTATCACAGCAATTGTCACAATATTCCCATGAATGGGGTCACTGTTAGAGAAAACACACCAAGACTGAGAGATTGCAAGTGGTCAAGGCCATCCATCTAGTTAATTCATAAATTTAGAAAGTTGATGTAATCCTAATCTGTTTTAGTATTTTAACTTCTGTATGTTTCATCAACATGGTTATGAATTTTCCTGTTATAGTTTTATCGTTTTGCAAACTGCTTTGAGGTTTTTCACAATCAAGCGATGTACAAATTTCATGAAACATTTTTTGTTGTTGAAGTTGTCATTCGTCTAAATAAATATCAGAGCAGACAGGTGGACCTGCAAATCTGCCCTCAATACTCTGGCTGCTAAATCCCCATCAATTTACTGCTGGGTAGCCAACACGGTGCCTTCCAGATGTTGAGACTACAACTCCCATCATGCCAGCTGAGGCCAATGGAATTCAACATGAGGCAGCAATCATGTTGCTTTACTGTATCGTATGGGTTGGGATAATGATCAGCGCTGAAAGATTTAGTCAGGCTCATTAATATTTTTGTTTGTGATGAATTAAAGACATACTCTCAATTGGAACTTTTAAAATTTTAAAACACAATCTTAAACATGTGAAATATTTTGAACACATTCCGTAATTGTCAAACATTATTATTAAATCGATGGGGTCTTTATCTGCTCCCCACCTCCTTTGGAAGGGCAACAGTGACTGCCTCTAGAAACAAGAAAATGATTAGGGTAAATTTATGCCAGTTATGTGGCATTTAGAATGATTATTATGGATGATCCATCTGATCACCCTATTCGAGGAATTGATTTAAAAATTCCTCAACTGGTGCAACATTTACTTTTAAGGTAGTCCTCTTTTTCTAAATTAAAACTAAAGGCACATTTTTTTTCTTTTACTCAGGGTTTGTTAAGAGCAAGAATCCCTACTCACATTCAGAGTAGCCCTCCTGTGTTTCTCTGCAAGAGCTGATATGCTGGGTTTGCTTCTTCTGAGTGCAGGCAAATTATGCTATATGTGGGCAGGAAAATCATACCTGATGTTGTATTAACAGTTCCCAGCAGAGCCATATAGGAACGAGGCAATGCCAGAACAATGTATCATACAGAGGCACAGCAGGCAACCAACTCTGGGGTCTTGGAAGACAGGAGTGCCTGGCGTGCTCTGGTCCATTGGGTCATGAAGAGTCGGACACGACTAAACAACAACTGTTCTCTGGCAGCGTATTACAAATGCTTAAGCCCTAAACACTTTGGGACCAGCTTATCCAAGGAACTGCCTGCACTTATACCTATCTTCCCATTGTACTTGAGGTCTAGCTGTGGTACACCAGTAGGGCTGGGCAATGTATCGATATATCATTCAAAACTGGTTTGAAGTCCGTATCATGTTATTGGTTTCTTAATTTTTGACCAGGCAATATACTGAAAATCATGATGTGTTTGTGTGTGTGCACACTATGCAAAAATAAAGATGTGGGGGAAACCATGAAGCCAGCCAATGCCTCTACATAGCTCCATCCTTATTTCAAACATTGTGATATTGTGATGTTTAGCAGTGATATTATCACCTGGTTTTCAACATCGTATCACTCAGCTCTATCTACCAGTGAAAGTGGTTAGGTTGGCGAGTACTGGGGCAGGGACCTTTTCGTGAAGACTGTTTGCCCAGTATCTCTGGAATGCCATCCCTAAATAAATTCATAACAATCTCTGGGCAGGGCACAAGAATTCGCTTAAAATACAAACCCTCAATTTTTAAAAATTCTAGTCTGTATTTATGCTTACTTATTAATACATGGAAACTTTCAAGTGTTCAAAGTGCTTCACATATATCATCTAGGTGGAGCTGCTGCCTCCACCTACAGCATATGCATGAATCATGTGGATCACCCTGCAAGCATCTTCTGTGATTCTACGTTTTGCTTGTAGCACAAACTGCATAGCTTTCATAGGTGGTGGGTGGGTTAGGAATGGTTGTTATGTGAACCAAGTGGCTAGGACAAATAGGTATATGGTTCATTTCAACTCTGATCTTTTCCCTCTCACTAACTTTATCAAGGAACAGATTAAAAAACAAAACACAAAGGGGAAAATATAGCAAGGTGTCACTCTTCCGGCTGTGATTTATTCACTGTGAAATGGTCTCCCAGAAAAGAAAATGTGCTACCCTCCCAGGCTCCATTTGCACCTAGCTTACCATCAGGCATGTGATGAATGCAGGGAGCGATGCTTATTCTAGCAGATGTGATAAAGGCCAGGGCTTTCTGGTGCCTGACATTTTGCAAGACTATGTGGGAAAACAACCCCATGGGCAGTCTCAATAAGGATAATGTTGTCAACACTTACTATCAGGACTTTTCCCCGCCATCACGCCTTGGCACATTTCCTGAAATCTTTAAGTACCCTTGGCACTTAAAGAGAAAGGCGTTTCAAAGATTTTGGCGGTGTTCCTGGACTCCAAAGACAGTGCAATGAAGAATGCAAAGCAGAACTCAAAACCTGCCAATCACAGTAATGCCAAGCACTTATCACACACTTCTAAACTTTCATCCATAGTACTGACCTCAGTCTGAAAAACCACTAAAAGCAGAAACTCCCATAAACTATTCTTAGCTTTCCCAAATGAACTGTTTCTCTCAAGGCTTGCTTCAGATATGTCAGCATTCATAAGCAATTGGTTATTTCATCGCCATCTTATAATGAATTTCAGAATGTGAACTCTGCCATGAGACCTAGTGTCTAACTCAGATGTATGTAACTGTAAGACAACAGATTTCTGGCCCACATGGTTGGAAAGATAAGCTTTAGAAAGCAAACAGTATGCCTCCTAAGTGTTGCAACGCTAGGAATCAGCACACAACTTCCAGAAGCCACAGTGTACAACTTTCCCTGCCAGTATTCCATGTGATTTGTATTTTCTTCTACTCCAGCATTCCACTAACATAGTGGTTCACACATTTTTAAGATGGTTCCTTAGAATTAATGCCAAACCATGGATTCTGAGTGGCTGCCAAACCAGGATTTGAAGCTACAATGCAACGTTGCAAACCAATTTGGGCAAATTATGGTTTTACATTAAATCCCAAACAACCCAGAGTTTCAGAGGCATGTAGCACCTGAAGATTAGGTAAGGTAAGACAAGAGAGGTGGAAAACTGCACAAATCATGTTTTATCTGTTTGGAACATAAATCATTATTTGGATAGTTAGTATAGTTTCTTCATCATTTGGATTACGTCTGAAACAATACTTTGTCCTAACTGACTCTCCATAAATCTTGTTATCAAAAAAGAGAACTCAAAGGCATTGTGTGTCTAGTTCTGCCACAGAGATGAGTTCATTCGTTCGTGTGTGTGTTTAAATCGTTTAGGTTTAGATACCCACAATACACAAAGATGTCAAATCTATAACCCCACTTCCACAGATATCTCACAAAATTTGTACAATGGAAAGAAGGGCTGGGGGGGAAATCCTAGATATGATTGTGATCTAATCCCTCTCAGGAGGGCAGGGAGGGAAGATACTTTTCTTCTTCTTCTCATGTCCCAGTATCTGCAGAAGCAAAAGAAACTTTATTATGTGCCAATCACAAGATCACTCCAGATCTTTCCTTCAACATTGCTAAACCATAGAGGGCTGAAAAAAATCTCAGAATAGAGAGCAAACTTTTGCCTTCATCTTCATCTCTGGTTTGGACTGCCAGGCTTTGGAGTTTCCTAACTTACTGGTTTTGGGGGACTTCAACGTCCATGCTGATGCCGCCCCCTCCTCACAGGCTCTGGTCCTGGTGTACTCCATGGCAACACTAGGGCTTTCCCAGTTTGTTTTGGGCCCCACACATCAAGCAGGCCCCACACTGGATTTGATCTTTGGCGCAGGTATAGATGTGATCATGTCCTCCCTTGTAGAGGTGCCATGGTCTGATCACTATGAAAGCTCATATAAGCAGACATGAGCATCACACTGCTTACAGGCTTTCCTGGTAGTGAGAAAATCTGTCCTCAAGTGTACTACAGTCATACCTCTTGTTACGTTTGCATCATAATACGCTTTTTCAGGTTGCGTCCCGCAGCGACCCGGAAGGACCGGAAAGGGTTACTTCTGGGTTTTGCTACTCGCGCATCAGCACAAAATAACATCACACGCATGCGCAGAAGCGGAGAATCCTGACCCGCGCATGCGCAGGTGCGGGTTGTGTTCCTTTCAGGTTTCGAACGGGGCTCCGGAACGGATCCCATTCGCAACCAGAGGTACCAGTGTAATCAGAATTCACAGTTACATCATACATCACGGTGCTTTTCACAATTAGGAACACAAAATGCAAAATTACATGCTTGCTCTGTTTCAGGCACTTTCAAGATAATCGTTTATTTACTGTAGGTAAAAAGCTAGTATACAGATTGGGGATCCCTTTAAATTTCAACTACAGTTAAACGCCATCTAGTAATTTCTGCTTTCAATGTTAACCAAAAATTTCTACATACCTGCTCCACTATTAGTGTGTTCTGTTATCCAAAACAAAAAGGTCAGTCTTTTATTTGTTCAATGCATAATATTTACATTGTGAATGGAGCTAGAACAAGCAATGGTAAAGAGGTAATAAACTTTAAAAAGCCAGTTTATATATTTTACAATAATGTGCTAATCAGCATAATTGTATATAAAAATTAAAACATAGTAGAGCTTCCTACTACAGAAGTCGTAATTGGTTGAACTGTAGTAATTACCTGCTAACAATTTACATGCAACACTTGTTAAGATTGACAACTGATTTTTGTTTAAGTGTTAAGTTGATTAATGGCATGAGACACAATTTTAACTTGTGTACAAACAGAAATTGAAGTCTGCAACCAAGAACTGTACTCATCACAAGCCTCTTCCAAAAAAAAAAAGGGGGGGGAATGATAAAATGTTCTCATCATACAACAAATGTTATAAAGGCAACATACAAGAAGAATGTACCTGAATGGCACAAACTCCATAGAAGGAAAGGTCAGGCACGCACACATGCACACCTTTTTTTTATAGGAGGCCCATCTTTCCACCAAGAGGCAGTGGCTGAAAGCAAATGATAGAAAGCCAGATGCACAACTAATTCAGATTTGGAAATTTACTAAAATGTGCTTGAGTGTTAATATACAATTCTATATACAGACCACACTGGAATGTATCCCACCCCTCTGCAAAACAACCAGACTTTTTGATACTAGCCTTAGGATTCAGTTATTTTTAAAGTAAACAAACAAAAACTCAATAAAGAGTTACATGAACAGCAAAATGCACGAGATGGCTGAACTATTTATTGAGTCGATCTGGGGATATTTCTGCTTTAGAAATTGTTTGAGCACTTACACATGTATGTCTAGGAAGAAAGGGGCAATCTACTAGGTTTTGTTGTGGCACCAATCACCACTCCATTCCAGCAGGATTCTGTGCGAGGTTCCAAAATAACCCTCAGTGATTTAACGGAACCTGTTCAACTGCACTCCAAAAGGCTCACTTCGGGCGATTCCAACATGCCTTCGTGATTTTAGCCAAGGATAAAATGCTGCACTTCGCTGAGGCAGATGATACAGTTGGATCAACTTGAAACCAGATGCTTGATTCCCTCCTGGGATGTGCTTTCTGCGTGAAACCATCCCAGTGGAAGAAAGAGGGGTACAATAAAAACCCAGACACAGTAACTTAGATCGGATACTAAACAGAATGTCAATGTGGCTGTCAAGCATGTTGAAGAGCAGGAAGCTCTCTTGAACCAGCAGAATCCTGTAGTAGACACACACACACGGAGAAACAGAACACACCACCTACCGTTCCCATGAACAAAAGCTTGAACAAGAGCTGATTTTCATCATATGAAGAGAGGTACAAGATGACAGAAAACATGAATCGTCAATAGAAGATAAATTGATTGACATGAAATGGGGAAAAGAACACTTGAGCAGTCTGATTGCAGTTATTTTGTGAAGGCTGCTACTACAGCCCACAGGACCTCATTTGTGTTGGCCTTCATACATTCGACTTCAGGGTCTAAATCCAGGAGCTGCCGCACTCTCTTTGTGGCTAGGTCATACTGCTCATCCAAAAGGGGGGCAAAAGCGTTCTCAAGGACATCTGATGCGTGGGCTAAGTAAATGAGAGCCAGCAAGCGCTTGTCCATGCGGTGGGGGTCATTCACCCATCTGTCAAGAACAGCTTCTTGAACTTTCTTGATGAGGCGCTGCTTAATGTTGTTGTTGGTGAGAGGGTGTGTGGTCATGTCAAAGAGGAGAAAGTTCTGTTTCTCTGTAGTCAAAACCCCCTTTTCCACCAGGTTTTTGGCTAATCGTTCACGTACGTTTCGTAACTGGTAGTGCAATTTTAATGGATTCCATGTCTCACCTAAAATAAGGCAAAAGAACAAACAAGCCCCTGAATGTTTTGCTGGTATTCTGTTGGTTAGCAAGGGTAAATGAGACAAAACAGGACACAGTAACACAGCAACAGAGGCAAAAATGCAGTATTAATTGTCACGTTAGGTAGAGAAAGAATGCTTCACTTACTGACCAGCTGCTAAGATGATCCACAGAGCAGCTTGCAAATAATACTTTGGATGAGGAGTTCCATGCTTCTAAACTAGCTAACAAGGAATGACTCCCTAAACTATTCCCCAAATAAACCTCAAAAATTTCCCGCAGGATGAAATAATTTTCCCTGAAGTTTGTCACCTATTCTAATGTCAAGAAAAACTTTCTGCTCAAGGCAGTCAATTTGTACCATGTCTGCTTACAGTGAGCTGTGTTGAGACAAATATGGTGACCATTTAAGGGGGGAGGGAATCAAAGCTACTATTTGGAATATTCACCAAATATTAAAAAAGCTTTATTATGAAGGTTGAAGAAAACGCTGAAGGGCAGTTGCCTGTTTATCAAAACTAGAATGAAAAACAAAATGGAAAAACAACCGTCTCCTAACATTCGAAATACTTGCTAGCTTCTGAAATAAACTGGTATCTGTCTTTTCGGAGTTCATTGAGGATAGAATCTTCATTTGAAGTTTATTCTATGCATGTTTCTGAAGTGTATGGGGTGTTAAGGGATGGCTAATACCTCTGCTGGAGGACACACCACGCTCCTTTTGGGGCAGTTTGTCTACCTCTGCTTCACACCCCGTACTCCGCTCTCAACTTCCTAAAAGTTGACAGCATGCAACAGTGGCCACACCCCAGGAAACAGCTTTGACCGGCCAGCTAAACTAGGTCAAGGTAGTCGATGGGTCTCAAACCCTTGTTGAGCTAGGGACTTCCCCTGCATGCGAAGATATGCTTCAACAGATTGAACAGATGAGACCAACAGTGGGTCCAACAGTCAAGAAGGCAGTAGGGCTGGGCAATATCTGATGAAAACACCACGATATATCACCAGCTAATTATAACGATATTTCGATATATCACAATACGTATCTACAGCGGCGTACATATCTACAGTGGCAGAGGTCCCGCCGTACCTCCCCGCAGCGGCGGAGGGTGCGCTGCGCTTCCCTGCAGCAGCAGAGGGCCTTGCCACACCTCCCTGCAGTGACAGAGGGTCCCGCCATACATCCCCGTGGTGGCGGAGGGTGTGTCACACTTCCCAGCAGCAGCCAAGGGCCTTGACAAGGCTCCCTGTGGTGGTGGAGGGTGAGAGCAAAGCTGGAGACACCATGCCTGCAAATTTTTTGCAGAGTACCTGCAAAGTATCCTTCAGCTGAACTACCCCCTGGAAAGCTGATCTTTTTGTTCACTGGGTATATTGCCTTGTTGAAACACTTATCACAATGTTATTTTAAAACTGGTATTCAATGGTATGGTGATTTATTGCACAGCCCTAAAAGGCATTTACTGCACATGCTGTAGAGGGAACTAAGGAACAGATGGGGCTGGGAGAAAGAGAACTCTGATCCTTCACTGTCTTGCAACTACAGTGGTACCTCGCAAGACGAATGCCTCGCAAGACAAAAAACTCGCTAGACGAAAGGGTTTTTTGAGCTGCTTCGCAAGACGATTTTCCCTATGGGCTTGCTTCACAAGACGGAAACGTCTTGCAAGTTTGTTTCCTTTTTCTTAACACCGTTAATACAGTTGTGACTTGACTTCGAGGAGCAACTCATAGAACGCAGTGTGGTAGCCTTTTTTGAGGTTTTTAAAGACTTTGGTATTTTTGAAGCTTTTCCAAAACTTTCCCGACACCGTGCTTTGCAAGACGAAAAAAATCGCAAGACGACAAAACTCGCGGAATGAATTAATTTTGTCTTGCGAGGCACCACTGTATACACATTCATGAAAAAGGCTTCAGAAGTAAACCCCAAAGAAAAATCCATACTTGCTGCCTTGTGGGACACCTTTAAGAGAAGAAAAGGCTAAGAAATAAACCCTTTACAAATCCAGAGTGAGACCCTAAAACAGTTAGGGGCTTCTTGTGTGCTCTCTTCCAGCAACTTCTGCAGTCAAGCTGGTGCCAAACACATTGCTCTGCTTTCCTTTGGACCACATCAGCAAGGGCAAGAGGGAGTCTTGCCATCTGGGGAGACCAGGACCTCCATACACATTGCCCAGGCTTGTGCCCTGGAGAAGTAATTTTGGTACTGGCTAATGCAACAGAAACCATGGAGGAGGCAGCAGTTACGAGTTACTAATCTCTGCACCCACAGCAGGTGCTGTGATTCTCCAATGGTTTGTCTTCACCCCCAGAGGTACACTCCATTGTCTATCGAGGTAAAAGGGTGCCAACAATAAAATTTCATTTCTATTAAGTGACACTACCTGCACCTGCTAAAAGAGACACTGTAGAAAAAGTCACCAACCAAATGAAAACCTCCAACCAAATTAGTCTCATGAACAAAACATCTCTAAAATGCCCCCGATATACTGTGTGCTATAAGAGAAGGCATAGGGCATGCATTGGCTCAAGGTGTTGTGAACCCTAAGACAAGCAATGAAGGAAATGCATACCGTATTTTTCGCTCCATAAGACGCACCAGACCACAAGACGCACCTAGTTTTTGGAGGAGGAAAACAAGAAAAAAAATATTCTGAATCTCAGAAGCCAGAACAGCAAGAGGGATCTCTGCGCAGTGAAAGCAGCAATCCCTCTTGCTGTTCTGGCTTCTGGGATAGCTGCGCAGCCTGCATTCGCTCCATAAGACGCACACACATTTCCCCTTACTTTTTAGGAGGGAAAAAGTGAGTCTTATAGAGCAAAAAATACGGTATTTGTTCCAGCAAAAATAAAGTGAACATTTAAAATAGATTTTTTTTTAATCCATTTTGATTTTCCACAGTAGCTTGGCGACACCTTGTGACCAAACCTCCTAACTACAAGGAACTCTGAACAAGCAATTCAGACAACTATTTTGCGTTCAGAAATTGTAACTCTTCGGAGATTTGTGTAAATGTTTTACAGGACTCACTTTCTTATGATATGCAGAAGCGGTGGTACATAAAGTTATCAGGATATTTTATCAAATATCATATTAGTTTGCTTTAAGACTGAACATGTTTAGCCAACATGTCACCCCTGTTAGCAGTACCAGCACCCTGTGGAATATGAGGGGTGGTGGCATGCTGAGAAGACTTTCTCTGTGATGGAATGTCTCCCCCGCCAGCTGCTCCTGTATGAGGTATAGTGCAGTATGCTTTCTGTCAGCTGGTTAAAGCAACCTCTATGGCTTTGGGGGATGATGGAATGAGATTAAGTGAATGTTGTCCTTTCTGCTGTACTCTTAGTGCTGTTACAGTTTTAATTAAAGTTCTTTTATATTGTAATTTTTTATTGTAACCCATTCCGAGACCATGGGAAATAAATAAATATAAATATAATGGTTTTCTAAGGAAAAACCATCTTCCGCAGAAACTGCTGCTTGCCTTCTATCACTGTGCCATTGAGAGCGTGCTCACTTATGGCTTATGTGTGTGGTACGGAAGCTGTACTACCCAGGACAGGATGGGGTTGTGCAGAGTTGTTAAGGCAGCAGAGAGCATTGTTGGCTGCCCACTCTCCACCTTAGAGCAGATTTATGCCACAAGGTGCCATAGGAAGGCATTGGACATAGTAAAAGATCCATCGCATCCTGGTCACTGTCTCTTCGAGCTCCTGCCGTCGGGACGGAGATACAGGACGATGAAGACAAGAATGAGCCGTCTTAAGAACAGCTTCTTCTCCAGAGCGATCTCGGCCCTGAATGGGAAGCCTGGACTTTGAAAGTCCTCTAATCTTCCTTGCTGTACTATACTGTATTGTTTTAATTATGGAGCAGTCAAGTAATTTCGTTGTCCCCGAGAGGGGGTAATGACAATAAAGATCTTCTTCTTCTTCTTCTTCTTCTTCTTCTTCTTCTTCTTCTTCTTCTTCTTCTTCTTCTTCAAAAGCAGACTTCATTATGAAAGGCCATTATTGCTCACTGCAAGTACCAGTCCCACCCTGAGGCTGAAGTCTGCTGACGTTGCTGGCCCAAGAGGGTCAAAGCATGTCAGAAAGCAGATGGACTTTGAAAAGGAAACCAACCCAAGAAGTTGCTGCCAGCGTGCTGATGCTAGGAAGGAACCACATGCAACTGAATGAGAGTCCAAGTTTAGTTCCTATCAAGGCGGTAAGCCCATACCTGGTCTGTACCATTTCAGACTGTGGGTATGGCTACTCTATACCTATACATAAATCAATTCCTGCTCACAGAAAGACAGCATGTCAGGGAGAAGCCTGGGCTAGAATCCTTCCTCCTGATATTCTACATTTATACATGGAGGGGATTGCAGAGAGAACATTCAATCATGAAATCCCTAACCACTGTCTAAAGTGGTACAGACCAAAATGTATTTATTCTTTGAGTGAGAACTTCAGTGGGAATTAGGGTGACATTTCCATTTGCAGAAATGCTTCTAGCATAATGATTTGGGGGTTTGTCACACATAAAGGAATGCAAGTATGGAAATGTGATTCAAAATTCTGCACAAAGGCATTGCAGGTTTTAAAACTAAAAGCACAACACACCCACAGAGTACATTTGGAAATGTACAGAGCCTAGTGTTCAGTAGAAACCACCAGGGAACTGCAAATGGTTTCCAGGAGTCAGGGGTAGGGGACCTCGTACCAATCGCTGCCTCTCTTTTTGTTCCCAGGCAGCTTCTCTGCTCCACCCCCACCCCAAATTCCCACAAAAATATCAGTGCCTCATCTTCTTTTCTGGCTCTCTTCCATTCACATCTCCAAATACTCTAATTTTGGAACCAGAAGTTTTCCCTAAGTGCTTACAAGCATTCTCTCACTGATCTCAACTAGACTATTTTGCTAGTATTATCTACAATTGTACTAACCCCCTTTTATGGTTGGAAGTGTTGAGGAAGCAAATTATTTACGAATTACCTTCTGCATATCTCAAGGTGATATACAAAATAAAATAAAAGTAACTAAAACAGTTAAAACAGCACAAAATACCATATTACCATATTTTTACGTCTATAAGACGCCCCCTATTTTTGGGAACTCAGCTTTAAGAAAATGGGGAGAGAGTGCTCCCCAATTTTTGACATTATTTTTTAGGGGAAAAACCAAGTCTTATACACAGAAAAATACAGTAACTGCTAGACAACAGTTCATGACTGAATTCAGATTTCAACAAGAGGCTGACTATTACAATGTCAGCTGTACTGCTAAAATTACTTAATTTAAGAAATGAACTTCAAGAACAGAATCTGATTTTCTTGAAAACCGTAAACATTGCCTCTGCCAGAAAAGCCCCAGGTTTCTCTCATTTTCATTAGTCTCTCTGTTCTTCCTCTCTACTGCTGAACAGCCAAAGCAGGAGGGAACACAGGAATGTGTCACCAAGATATAAATATGCAATCCTAAACTCATTCGCCAGGGAGTAAGCCCCACTGAATTCACTGGAACTAACTTGACTACATCAACATTACTACTAATCAACATGCTGCAGACATAGAATATTTAATGAAGATGGAAGAATATTAGTATAAAAAGAATGAAGAGTGGGAAATAAGAGCCAAGTGCATACATACCGTGATCAAGGTAGTCAAAATACAAAAGCGCAATTCATCTGACTAAACTTGTGTGTTAAGATTTCATGAAGTAATTAACACTGACCAAATCTCCCACACCCTCCCACTGTTAAATCTAAACCTGGTGATCCTGTATGCTGCTAGACAGCAGCTTAATTCTACTCCAGAGATAGCGAGAGCATTAACTATTTCCTTCCACCATTCCAACACTGCCATCCCCAAATTTATTTGACGGAACACTGGTGTTTAAATTTGATCTTCACAGCAACCAAAGTTGTTACTCATAATTTGGACAGAAGGCATCACTTGATAAGGAACTTATCAAGCCCTATGCTTGAAAACTCGCTCCTTAAAACCAGTGATGCATGGCTGCCCAAAAGTTTGTTAAACATTAAAAAATGTTAATTTCCAAAGATTTATCTTACCACTAAGCAGCTCTATCCAGTTCTGCACTGTTTCAGGAGGCTGTGTCTCCTTAATGTGCTTCAGAGCTTCATCAAGTAGAACATCCCCTGTAGGAGCATCTGATTTGCAGATCACCTGATAGGAAATATAAGAGTTCACTCCATCACCTCAAACTTTTGCTTTTAACTCTTTAAGCACCAAGTGGAGAAAAAGTGTTTCTCAGTACTACTTTTTTATATCTTGAGGCTCAGTGTTGGAATATTCCCACTTCTTGAACCATGTCATTGTTTTTCAGAAATCAAACCAAGTATCTTGCTTTTGAAAAGGAAAACGTCTGAATCCATGGGAAGGCAATGCTCCATATATACCACCCCATTCATGTCAACCAGAAAATAAAAGTCCAGAACCATTCCCTCTAGGTACATTAGCATCCTTTTTTATTTAGACAAATAGTTACTTCATGAAGAACACATTATATTAATGGCATACTACTTTCTGTTGCAACCTGAAACCACAGCATACAGGGCATATGGAGGAGAGGCCTGCAAAAGTCACATTTACCTCAAACAGTGCCCAGAATAAATAAATACAGAGAGATAAGAGAGCTCTTCGATTTAAGCACTAGAACTTCCAAAGCTGCTGCACAGGGAAAAACAGTGCCAATGGAGAGACATATGAGAGTTACACACAATATCCAGGCAACAAATGAAAAACCAACAGAATAGATTCATTGTATTTTTACTGTTATTTTTATTCATAATTAGAATGCTCTGAGCTAAGATTATCAACCTGTATACATTACCACTGTCACCCTTTTTCACCATAATGTTCTAGTTCCCTAAAAGGCTGTAGGTGATGCAGATATGAACCCATATCACCTCCCTTGACAGGAGAAAAATAATAATCTCCCTGCCACCCTAAAGTCGCTTGCATATGGACAGCAAACAAAGTTATGGAATTTGTCTGGAATGTGTTCTGTTCCCTGGCCCCCTGTACATAATACTTAAGAGAGGACAATTTGTCAATAAACAATAATCCATTCCTAAACATACGCTTTGTGGTCATAGAGATAATTAGCATGCTTCTCAGAAGCAATAATTCCAATAAAAGCCACATTAAATGTCTGTTAAAAAAATTTTGATGATGAAATAATTCCTTTAACAGACATTTTATTTGACAACAATCAAGCTGGCTTGATTAACTATAAATTTATATTATGGAGGACAGCAACAAAAAATGCCAAAATACTAAATTTAATAGACGTCATTATTTGGAGCCTAGAAATGCTAATTCTCTCATTAGATCTGTGCTCTCACTGCTTGAGCTCCAATTCTTCTGGGAAGCCAGTGTCTGGCTATTACGGCCTGGCTAATGAATGTTTATTAAGTCCTTCACAACATTGAGGGAAATTTATACCATCAGATAGAAGAACACATCAGCCAGAATGCATAGAATAAAAGCCAGTCAGAGGTTCAATAGAAACTTGGTTTCTAAAGAATGGCCTAAGCACAAAACACAGGAGGATAATCCAACTAAAACATGCTCAGTGCAGAACCACTGAAATCAGTGAACGTTAATTGTCCATTGATTTCATCGGCGTATGACTAACACTGGATGACACCCAAACTCTTGTAGTATCAGCTTTAATATACCTAGATACATATTAATTTGGTATAGGTCAGGGGTCTGCAACCCGCGGCTCCGGAGCCGCATGTGGCTCTTTTACACCTTTGTCGCGGCTCCAGGGTGGATACTAGCGAGGGGAGGAGGAACATTGTGCGCCCTGACACTCCCCACTGTGGCGGGCGCTGTACTGGCTGTGATGTCGCATGGGGGCAGTGCGTGCGTTAGTCACACACCGTCCCGACGTCACCTTCCCGGTTTTGCGGCTCCCAGTTTTTTCCCCCTTCGGAAACGGGTCCAAGTGGCTCTTTTTGTCTTAAAGGTTGCAGACCCCTGGTATAGGTGGTCCAATAATATGCACTTTGCTACTATGTATGAGCAACTCCACTGATTAGCACAAAATTAAAATATGATGGCTTAAGCTTTTTAAAAGCAAAATACATCATTTTAAGCAAATGTCTTCTCTTCATGGTGACCCCAATTTAGTACAAGGTTACAGCATGTTAGTAGTTATTTTGGAAAAAGCTTTCAGTACCTACAAACAATAAAAAATAATTTGGAAACCAAACAAGGAGGTTATACAGACAAACACCCCCTCCCATTTATATGGGGGTTATGTTCTGAGGCACCACATGCATACGTGATATCGCATATAATTGAGGCACCCCTTGGAAAAGCCTGCAAACACCCTCTAAACCTCTGAAAACCCTAGAAAAACCCTTTTAAAAACCAGCACATGGCTGGCGACCTTGGAAGATGCAGGTGTGCTAGCAGATGCTGCTGCCCAGATCTCCTTCTCCCAGATCTTGATGGCATGGATGCTGGACACATTCCTACACATTCCTGCCAAACCTGTGTGCCACAGCACACACACCCATGCCTTCTTGTAAACAGACCAGCACTTTCAGTTTCTGCTCCAGTGTGGAACCAGTCACTGCTTCTTGGGTTTTGGGTTTGAAACTCCTCCAAAGTTCGTGACAATTGCTCTCTCACAACCTCCTTCCTTGAACTCCAACTCGCCACAATTATGGCCAATAAATAATGTAGCTTTCAGGTCTGACTCTCCTTAAAATCACCTATGTAAAATATTCTAGAAATAGTCAAGCTATTATATAACCTTGGTATTTCAAGGAACATTCCTGCATTTCTGGCACACCAAAGAATCTTGGAAGCTCTATGGGGAAGGGAGCAGATCCATTTCAAGATAATCATAACTAAATGCAGCTGAACATAAGCAGTAACTGTCTACTTACACAAAGACGCAATTCTTAACAGCGAGGTAGTGTGGAAACCTTTCAAAACATGCTTTTTAAAAAAGGTGAGCAAAAGATAATATTGACAGGGCAGTCTGCGCATACAACAGCATATTTTCATCACAAGATCTCCTCAGAAAAAATAAATTGCCTTCACATAATGCCAACAAAATCAACCGCAAAGAGCAACATAGACTGATTCATCTCCATAGTAGGCCCTGGATTCAGCAAATTGCATAAGCACTACATGTTTAATATTAGATATGTGGCTTAAGGAACTTAAAATTGATTAGATACAAGCGTTCTTGCCATCTCTTTACAAATACTGAAATGAGTATGTAAAAGGCTTGGTACAGTTTGAAGAATTGTATGGGATATAATTTTTAAGACCTTCATGTCATTTTACCCTCCGATTCTTACCTTTCTAGTTAACAAACTTTTGCGTCTCATTCCAAATGCCTCCAGCTGAAGACGCCCTCTCAGTGCTAATTCAATTAACATGCAGCCACGCAGCCCAGAGGAAATGCAGTCATTCCAAAATGATGTATAACCCTGATGGGAAAGAAGTCTCTGTAAGTTTTCTTTTATCCATGTAAAAATAAATGATTTTCATTATAACAGTTTCAGACAAAAAGAAGAAAAAGAAATCTGCCCTCTTGACATGCTCCAAAATAGCTAAAGAATATAAGAATAAACTAAATACTGAAGAACATATCCAAGCTTCCCCCCCCCTTTTTTTGACTTCTAAAGTATAGTGATAAAAGCTTTCTAACAAGCTTTCATGAAATGTGATTCATCTTTACAGAGATTCCGAACTTTACTCCAAAATGTTAAAATATTGATTTCTTTCAATTTAGGCAGTCTAGTTTGAATGATTTCCCAGTAGTGATGTATGGAAGTGAGAGCTGGACCATCAAGAAGGCTGATCGCCGAAGAATTGATGCTTTTGAATTATGGTGCTGGAGAAGACTCTTGAGAGTCCCATGGACTGCAAGAAGATCAAACGCATCCATTCTTAAGGAAATCAGCCCTGAGTGCTCACTGGAAGGACAGATCGTGAAGCTGAGGCTCCAGTACTTTGGCCACCTCATGAGAAGAGAAGACTCCCTGGAGAAGACACTGATGCTGGGAAAGATGGAGGGCACAAGGAGAAGGGGGCGACAGAGGACGAGATGGTTGGATAGTGTTTTCGAGGTTACCAGCATGAGTCTGACCAAACTGCGGGAAGTAGTGGAGGACAGAGGTGCCTGGCGTGCTCTGGTCCATGGGGTCACGAAGAGTCGGACACGACTAAACGACTAAACAACAACAGTTTGAATGAAGTGGGTCTATTTTCTAAGAGCTGGAAAACAGACTTTTATTTTCAGTTCACATGTAATTCCAAGTCAAACCATGGCTTAGCCCTGTGAAGCGTGGCAGTAGGAGTGCAGCGGCTGAAAGCTTTGCTCCGAGAATCCATACTTTTGTTTCTTTGTGCTAAGTCATGGTTTGTGCTAAGCCATGGTTTGGCTGAGAGTAACATGTGACCTCGACCAGACATCTCAAAATATAATTGTTTCAACTGGTTCATTTTACCAGGCTTAGGATTATGCATTGCAGGGGGTTGGACTAGATGACCCTATTCACAAGAATTTGCAGTTAAAGCCACAAAACTTCACATGCTGAAATACTTTATTCTGGTTGAAGGAAATTTAAACCAATAAAATAAACACTATCAAACTAGCTCTAACATTATCCTTACAATGCTGGCCAAGGAATTTTTAACACATCTTTTCCTCTTTCCACAAAATAACATTTTATCATTTCAAAATGCCTGCTTTTCAAACCAAAACATCAAAATACTTTGGAAGCAGTGCGTGTACACCTTCAAATATGCTGTCAAAATAAAAGAGAATTTTCCCAACATAATGTAGATGTGAACGTTTTTGAATTTCACTGGGGCTGTTCAGTACCCTCCTTGACTGCCTTTTTTGTGAATGGAATGTGTTCTTGAATTGTGATGCCTCTTGCTTGTCTGAATGGGGTGTGTGTGTGTGTGTGTGTGTGTGTGTGCGCGCGCACACATGTATGAGTGTGTATGCATTTGTATTCTTTCTGCTCTGTAATTTCCCCTTTACTCTGCCTCGTTTTTGTGTGGCCAAACCCCACCCCAAGCACTCTCTGACTGTATATCCACCATACATTTCAGGCACCCCGAATAATCTTGGGAGCTGATTTGCTAAGGGTGCTGGGAACTGTAGCTCTGCAAGGCATAAGCTACAGTTCCCAGGGTTCTTGGAGTGGGGAAACGCACTTTAAATGTGCTTTAAGGGCATTGTGTGTAAGCAACCCCGTCTTCATCAAGATAGGAAGCTGGAGAGTTCCTCACCAGCAGCTGAACAAATAGATAGAAATGATTTAGAAAATCCCTAGGAGGTGGAGAAGCTGGGTGGGGGAGCGAGCTGTGGCTCTTTTATAGGAAATATGGTTATTAAATTGCTCTGAAGCTTCCTCTGTTTTCTCTGGACAATAGAAACACATCCCACAGTCCCAGTATAGTTCTCAGAGCCTGGGCCAATTTCCTGTGGAGTTCCCTGCCTAGTATCCCTCAATTCCCAAGATGCAATGCATCCCTTTCATCCTATCGTTCTGCCAATCAGAGCAGTTCAAAATGCAGATTTGCAACAGCCTGCAAATGGCTGGCATAAGGGCTCTTGATGGCCTTTGCCATTGTGAAAACAGAACCCTTATTCCCAGCAGGGAAGCCCATTGATGGCTTCTGCATGCAGGATGAACTTGCCAACGCTCTTGGAGAAATTCACCAAAACCATTTGCCAACAGAAGCTTCCATATATGTTGCCATCAAAGACGGCCACTCAAGTGTACATGTGCTGTTTCTACTGTTGCCATATTTCAAAAAGTGAAAATCCGGGCACAAAAGTTGTCAAACTTTTTTTTTTAAAATCTCCCCCCAAAAAGAAGTTTTTGAACTTCACACAAAAAACCCCACTTCCAACATGGGTTGCCAAACGCCCAGGTTTTCCTGGACATTTCTGCCAATTTTTGAAAATTCCATCCAGACACTATTTCCGGTGGACAAATCCCAGCTATGTCTGGGAAATTCTGGGTGTATGGCGGCCCAACATTTGGCACTGATGCAAGGGATGGGAATTATGTGCTTGAGTACCCTTACACCAAGTGTAAAATGATAAGGGGGAGAGAGCCCGGAAATGGTCTCAATGGCATGCAAGCTTAGACACCACCCAGAGAAAATTGCAATTAAGCACTATATAATTGGTCTAAACTAGACAGCATCTTGAGAAGTAGAGACGTCACCTTTCCAACAAAGGTCCGTATAGTTAAAGCCATGGTTTTCCCAGTAGTGATGTATGGAAGTGAGAGCTGGACCATAAAGAAGGCTGATCGCCGAAGAATTGATGCTTTTGAATTATGGTGCTGGAGAAGACTCTTGAGAGTCTCATGGACTGCAAGAAGATCAAACACATCCATTCTTAAGGAAATCAGCCCTAAGTGCTCACTGGAAGGACAGATCGTGAAGCTGAGGCTCCAGTACTTTGGCCACCTCATGAGAAGAGAAGACTCCCTGGAGAAGACACTGATGCTGGGAAAGATGGAGGGCACAAGGAGAAGGGGGCGACAGAGGACAAGATGGTTGAATAGTGTTTTCGAGGTTACCAGCATGAGTTTGACCAAACGGCGGGAGGCAGTGGAGGACAGAGGTGCCTGGCGTGCTCTGGTCCATGGGGTCACGAAGAGTCGGACACGACTAAACGACTAAACAACAACAACAACAATTGGTCTAAATGAGATAAGCAAAGGTAGAGTTGCATACACATGACGGAATGCGAGGTAGGGAGATTGAAACCTAAGACTAAACTGTAGCTGAGAAGGAATAGCTCAGTCGATAGAGCATGAGACCCTTAATTTTGGGGTTGTGGGTTTGAGCCCCACATTGGGTAGAAAGATTACTGCATTGCAGGAGGCTGGGATAGACGACCCTTGTGGGCCCCTCCAACTGTACATTTCTATGATTCTATGTGATCCCTCCAGATGTTGTTGGACTACAACTCCCATCATCCCTAATCATTGGCTGAGGATGATGGGAACAACATCTGGAGGGCCACAGCTTCCCTATCCCTGACTTAGATTCCTCGGACTTAGATTCCCCAATCATCCAGCCCTGACATTGAAGTCCAGCTCCCAGGGCCTTCTGATGGTTCGCTCACTGCAAGAAGTAAAGTTACATGGAACTAGGCAGAGGGCTTTCTCCGCAGTGGCACCCACCCTGTGGAACACCCTCTCTTCTGATGCCAAACAGATAAATAACTATACAGCTTTTAGGAGACATCTAAAGGCAGCCCCGTACTGTCGGAGCTTGGTCAACGAACGCCTTGCGACTCGAATATTTTGGCTCCCAAACGCCACAAACCCAGAAGTGAGCGTTCTGGTTTGCGAACATTCTTTGGAATCTGAACGTCCAACACAGGTTCCATGGCTTCTGATTGGCTGCAGGAGCTTCCTGCAGCCAATCAGAAGCTGTGCCTTGGTTTCCAAATGTTTTAGAAGTTGAACGGACTTCCGGAATGGATTCCGTTTGACTTCCAAGGTACGACTGTATAGGGAAGTTTTTAATGTTTGATGCTTTGTAGTGTTTTTATGCGTTGGAAGCTGCCCAGAGTGGCTGGGGCAACCGAGTCAGATGGGTGGAGTATTATTCTTATTCTTATTCTTTATTCATATTCGTATTATTCCTAGGCATCATGGTTGGGGAGCTTCAGGCCCTTGAACCACATGCGGCCCTCTAGACCTCTTAACCTGGCCCCCAGGACTCTCCCTAGGCTGTGCCCCTCATTGACCCTGCTCTATACTCTTTTCAAGCACTTTGGCCTGACTGAAATACATCCCAGAACTGCAATAATGTCTCTTGCTTACCTGACTAAAGGATGGAATGTTATATATGTGGGGTTTTTGGATGGTGGTAGTATAGAAACTTCTGACTTTCACATGGGTACAATGTCACCTGCTGCACTGAGCTAAGGATCACATCCTTGGTTTCACCTCCATTTGCCTCTGTCGCCTGGCATGTGAATTTGCGCTTGCGAATTTGTAAACAGAAAAACCCAAGGCAACACTCTGTAGTGGAAGTTATTGCCCGTCTCCTTTTATTCTCTGCTGCTGGAAATTTTATGCTGCTTTATATATTCTTGGCATCGTGGTTCATCATTGTGTTTTGATGATGCTGTCTGGACCGGATTGGCCGGCCTATAAATACCAAATGTGAATAAATGAACAGGCACAAAAGCTTTATCCCTCTGGACACCAGCACCACATTTCATCTGGCAAAGAAAAAGGATGATGAGGAGCTGGCCAGCAATGTTTGAAAACCTGCTAGGAACAATATTGGTCTCTCTATGCCTGCTGGGGCTTGATGTTTGCTGCACTGTCATGGAAAGAGACAGAGTGAGATCTGATATGTGCCACCCGTGCAAATGCTGGATTTAATCTTTTGCCACCAAATTTTTGGGGGAAGGGCTGAGACATTCTGCGGCATG